ACACTTTTGAGTGTGTAGTAGAAGAGCAGGCAAGCTTTGGGACATACTATCACGTCACACAATTGCGTCTTTAAAGGACCGCTCTGTCGCACGTTACACGCACCCTGTCACTGTAAACTGGCCTGTCAATCATCTTGTCACAGTTAACAGCCTTTACATTTCATTTCATTTAACTTCCCACCATACTGGAGAGAAAAGAAGTAGCTCGTTGATCTGCCAGTCACAGGTCTTTTATGCCGAGAACTCTGCTCATATTTTCTGCATAATGATGCTTTTAAAAGTTAACGACCAAATGGATGTTTATAAAAGTTCACATTCCAGTTGCAGATGAAATATAACACAGATAACAATAAATAAATATTTGTTTACCAGGTTAAATGTTGATTATTAGTAACTCAAACCCCTTTTTGTAAACCTCTCTACCTAACCGTCGATCGCGCGCATCAGCCACGTTTAACGCGTTTTATTCGTGTTTGTAGTTCTGGACCGAATCCTTCGCCAAAGCGCAATGGATTGTGGGCAGTTTTAGCCATTAAGAGTGTGCACGGATCCACACTTCAAAAATCGACCTGAAATAGTAGACCATCCGGGGACTTTTGGCATACTCTTTTCAACATACTATGCTTTGGGACACACTTACTATAATCTCACATACTATTTAGGATGGATAGTATGAACATTGAGACGCAGGGTGGGTCGGGAACTGTTGTTATTTATTCATTAAATCGTGTGATTGTTTGAGTGATTAAAATGGGGAAAGCCGATTTTCTAAGTCCTAAAGCGATTGAACAGAATAAAAGCTAAAAGGCCCTCATAAACTGCGCTGGTATTGTCAGATGTGTCAGAAACAGTGTACAGTAGAGATGAAGTAAGTTTATGTGAACATCTGCCTTATTATACAGTTACACTAACTTGACATTTATTAATTAATCTAATTTTAGGTATGACTAAAAGTACTGCGTAGTCTGTATTGATTTTCCTGTATTTTTTTCTAGTGTCCTAGCTTTGAAGCCCAAACCTACTGAGCTCCCTACCTAGGCGGCATTATTCGATATAGGCTGTGTCACAAAACTTTAGTTGCCTTTCTAGATAGCGTGCTTGATTATAATGTGTTGTGTCATAAAACCTGCCAAATATTAAACTTAGTAAGCTACAAACACCATACACTGTTCTAAAACCAAATGAACTGCCTATGTATACAGCATTTTGGGAAACATATGGACACTGAGCCTATCTGGACATGATTTTGAGCAATATATGTTGTTTCAAAACCAGACTTTGTCAATATTGTCAGCTAACATGATCTGTCTTGACTGCAGAACGGGTTTAAATGTCACGGCATGTCTGAGTCTCATCAGAGACAGCTGCTGTTAGCTTCAGAGAACCCTAACCAGTTCATGAGCTACTTCTCAGAGTAAGTCAACACACACTATTTATCCCAGTAGAGATGAAGTAAGTTTATGTGAACATCTGCCTTATTATACAGTTACACTAACTTGACATTTATTAATTAATCTAATTTTAGGTATGACTAAAAGTACTGCGTAGTCTGTATTGATTTTCCTGTATTTTTTTCTAGTGTCCTAGCTTTGAAGCCCAAAACTACTGAGCTCCCTACCTAGGCGGCATTATTCGATATAGGCTGTGTCACAAAACTTTAGTTGCCTTTCTAGATAGCGTGCTTGATTATAATGTGTTGTGTCATAAAACCTGCCAAATATTAAACTTAGTAAGCTACAAACACCATACACTGTTCTAAAACCAAATGAACTGCCTATGTATACAGCATTTTGGGAAACATATGGACACTGAGCCTATCTGGACATGATTTTGAGCAATATATGTTGTTTCAAAACCAGACTTTGTCAATATTGTCAGCTAACATGATCTGTCTTGACTGCAGAACGGGTTTAAATGTCACGGCATGTCTGAGTCTCATCAGAGACAGCTGCTGTTAGCTTCAGAGAACCCTAACCAGTTCATGAGCTACTTCTCAGAGTAAGTCAACACACACTATTTATCCCCATCCATCCACTGATCCAGCTGTCTTTGAGATCAAATGTGATTTTAAATTTTGATTTTATAGGGAGTTCAAAAGTGACTTCTTAGAGCTGCTCCGAAGACGTTTTGGTACATCATTACTGTTTTTAATTATTAACCAGTATTATATAAATTGTTTTGTGTTTGTTCTATTATTGTAGGCTAAGAGAGTCTATGTTCATTTTTGCAGGGACTAAGTGAGTTCACAGTAACTGTGTATAATGAGTACATCAGTAATCGGGAACACGTTCACATGAACTCTACTCAGTGGGAGACTCTCACCGACTTCACAAAATGGCTTGGGAGAGAAGGCAAGCATTCTACACATTTTATAGAATTAAAACTCCATAAACGCACTGCATACAATACCATTTAAAAATTTGAGAACACCCAGAACTTTCCCTTTTGTGTGTCTTCCAGATGGAGGAACAGAAGAAGAAATCTGTAAGATCGGATAACTGGATACAAGCAAACATTGTAGTGAAAGTGATCACTAAGAACCTGGGAGAGAAATATTACAAGAAGAAAGCAGTCATTCGGGTAACTGAAGCGCTGTCAGTGATTATATGTTTCCTACACTGATATTGTGTGCATGTGTGTGATTTTACAGGAGGTGCAGGATAAATACACAGCTGTGGTGAAGATGATCGACTCTGGAGACACACTCAAACTGGACCAGAGTCATTTGGAGACAGTCATTCCAGCTCCTTGTATTACCCTATTCATTCATTCATTCATTTCTTTGTGTAACACAAAAGGAGAATTTTGGAAAAAAATCTCAATCTAATCTCTTATTCTGTCTCAGGTAAGCGAGTTTTGATCCTGAATGGTCAATATAAAGACACAGAGGCCATCCTGGAAGGCACAAATTCTCGGCCACACTCACGTTAGACTCTATAAGTTCACTCTTAAAATTGTTACTGCACACTATTAAAATGCTGGCTATAATTCATTGGACCTTATGAAATTAGAATATGATTTTGTGGCTTTTAGTCAATTTCTTTTAGCTTTAAAGTCATCTATATGCTGGGGTAGCCTCTTTTTTTATAGAAATTAATACTTTTATGCAGCAAGGATGCCTTCAATTGATCAGAAGTGAGTAAATTTATAAACAAAAAATTGTATTTGAAATAAATGCTATTTTTGACTTTTCTATTCAAAGAATCCTAAACAAAATGTTTCATGCTTTCTACTAAGATATTAAGCGGCACAACTGCTTCTGCAGGATTGAGAGCCACTCATCTAAAGCATGTTCTTTGTCTTGGTTTAGGGTCGGTTGAAGGGAAAGACAGTGGAAGGGATTGCATATTAGGACTTCTCCGAATTAGCTTGATGTCCATCATCTTCTCCACGGTGCCTCTACTGTGTCCGAGTGCATAATAAAGACTCTTAAATGACCTAATTTACATATTGGAACAAAATGACCAATGTTTTTTATCGTTCTTTTGTCATTGAAAACAGTTGCGTATGATTTAATTGTTTAATTATTCAAACTTTCGATTAAATGTTTCACCGCAAACGCTCAAGTCAGAAGTCTTATAATACATTAATTAGTTTAATTGGCTTTCATTTTAAAATAATTTCAGTTCAATTGGTTGATGTACAGCACTGTTTTTCTGTGTTTTGTATATATTTTTTTGTAGTATTAAAAATCTTTTTTTTTTTTTATGGCAAATGTTTCAGTTTCCTTTGCTTCTTATTGCTTGTATAAAACAACAGATTTCTACCAATCAGCCTCTTTTTCTCTCTTAGCAAGTCTCCTAAGCTAGCTGCCACACTCTTGCTCTCAGATGGCGGTCAGGAAGCTGTCCAGCTGAGGCAGGATATAACTGGTGTAACTGCCGTCAATGAAGCCTTTCCCACTGTTATGGATGAACCAGCAGTAGACATCTGAACCTCGTTTCTTGTTACGTCTGTAGTCCTTCTGCCAGCCCCTGATCGATATACAGATATTGCAAAATTGTCAAATATAATATGTGCTAGGTAGGTCCTTAATGGCAATAGCACATAAGTTGGATTGGCTGGATCTCAAGAAGTCAGTCAAAAATATGTATTGTTTAAACATTATTTTGTACATTATTTTCATGAAAATCAAACGCATTCACCCTTATTCAATTCTTATTGCTGTGATGTGAAAAAAAAAAAACTAATTCGTTTTTTTCAACTAGTGAAGACATTTAACATTGTCCTTATTTATCAAAAATCTTCTAAATCAGTCAAATCATGTTTCTATTTAAATCTAGTGTTTTGCAGAGTTTCTGAGTAGGGGTAGGCCATAGAACATATAATTAACCTGATATAAAAACAATGAGATTTGAATGTGTACCTGGTGACAGCTACTTTGTTGCCTTTCACCTCCATTGTGGCCTCTTTCTTCTTTGGATCTGCTCCCTCGTGCACGCCGTACACCTTTACTTCTGGTTCCTGTGCAAACTGACCTGTTATGAGACGCAAAACATTTTTTGAGAGCAAGACCCACACACTTGTTGGTGTGTTGAATAATGTGTTTAAGCTGTTTCGTGACTTACCAATGAGACCATGAACCCGTGTGGAGTATTTGTTGTCGCTAGACATGTAAACGCCCAGGAAGTCCACCTGCACAGGATGCTTCTTCCACACCCGATGCAAAAGCACCATCACTGAAATCTTCCCATCAACTGTCACCGTAACATGTTCCTCTTTCACTATGGTGACCCTCATCCTGATAAGTAAGAGTTTTGCATATATTAACAAATGCGTTATCGTATATATAAAAAATGAAATAGAGAGTCCAATAATAAATGTCCCTTGTATTATTCTACATGTTGTTATAAAGTAAAAAAAAAAAAAAAAAAGGTTCCTTGAATATTGTATTTCATTTGGGAAATACATCAGATTATGAAAGTTAAATGTGTTACAATATTCTTGTCCTCTTAAAGGGATAGTTCACCCAAAAATGAAAATTTGATGTTTATATGGCCATATGATGGACAGAACAACCTTCACTTAACAAAACTACAGTTTTGTTCCTAAAATCTGCAGTTTGAGTTTATTGTAGAGTAATCAAATTTACTAGCTTACAGTCACTGATTCCCATATTTGTAGTGTTTGCTGTAGTACATTTGTTTTTTGATACCTGTCCAGCACCAGCTCAGCTGTGGCTCCCCAAGAGAAGGAATGATTGTTCCTGCCTTCCATCAGGTCGATTCTGTTGGTTCCTACTATAACCTGCACACTGTGTGTTTTAGAGTATATGGAGATGGTGCCGAAATATGTGTCTATTTTGTTGTTCTTCATCTTCTTAGACCCAACCAACTGACCGTTGATTGTGACTCCTGGACAGGAAAAAAAAGTGCATATGGAATATGAAATAAAGGACCTCCAGTTTTTTTTGTTTTTTTTTAAGTGATGGAAGACATCAAGTTACCTGTTCCAGGATCTGAAATCAGGTTGAGGATGTGTCCGGGTTTGGAGTCAATGTTGAAGCAGATGTCCATGTTACTTTTGGGTAAGTGAATGATGAAGTGGGGGTCATTGTCCACTACATTAAAAGCAAAAGGATGGGGGAGATAAAATAAAACTGTATTCTGGAATTTTTCTTTCCACTAGAAACAACACGTTATAAAAAGCCAAATAGCCCAACATCTTAAAACTGACCAGTGCAAGAAAATAAAATTTTTGCCTGTTGTCTTGCTTAAGTAACAAGAAACCAATTATCATGGCATTCACACTGATTCTGAATTTGAAAGTGATCTCAAACCTCTTTGTGGTTCACATCAGTAGTTAAACTAATTGTGGAACCCAGCCCACTTGAAAATAAATGTTGTTTTGAGCATTCACATTCAAATCAAAATCTATGTGAACTGCTTTCAGACTATTATTTGATTGTGCTGCATTACCACTGGTTATAATGGTACTTTCAAGCGTTCCAATTGCTTCTTGATTTGGAGCATAAGTAGGCTGAATCCACTGAGGTTTTGCATAGAGTAACTGTTGCACCGGCCGTGGTCCAGATAAGGGAGCAGTGGCTAAAAACAGAACAAAAAAAAATTAGAACCCCTATAATAATAAACAGATAATTAGAACAAAACTCCAAAATTCCATACTTTGCTTAAAGGGATAGTTCACCTAAAAATGAAAATTCTGTCATCATTTACGGTAGCCACTGACAAAAACAAAATACTACGGAAGTCAATGGCTACCGTCAACTGCTTGGTTACGAGCTGTCTTCAAAATATCTTCTTTTGCGTTCAACAGAAGAAAGAAACTCATACAGGTTTGGAATAAGTGGAGGGTGGGTACATTTTCATTTTTGGGCGAACTATCCCTTTAATAAGGCCATTGCCATACTGATATTATATTTCAAGATCAACTGTTTGGATTTGGTACTTGAGCAGCAGCCATGTTTGGAGTCTCTGGGTGAGTCTGCGATCAGTCGTTCTGCCCCCCCCTGGTCATGACCCTCCACCAGCATGGCGGTGAAAGGGGTCACAAACTGATGCTCCACAGCCAGGGCCATGATCCTCTGGGTGATCCTACGCTTCTTATTCGCAGTAGGAGCTAGAGAGCTACATGAGAGGAAATCCACAGAGGCAAAGTAAATGAGTACGATTAATGGGAAACGCAAGAAAGAAATGTTCATGTAGCCTCATATTAGATGTATGTTGGAACCATCATTGCACATGGTACATATAGAAGTTTTTTTTGATTCTGCAAAAAAAAAAACTATTTCCCTTTTTTTTTTTGACATTTACTACTCAAACAGTAAGTTGTCAAAAGAACTGACCTTTCTTTAGTTTACATAACAACCTGGTTCACTCCACTTTTTGGGACATTATCTTATATTTTAAGTTTTATTTCATTTGGTCACAGTACCAGGGCATATTTACCAACTTCTGCCTTTCAGCAAATCAGGTAGAAATACCAGGCAAACGTAATTAATATTAATAAGGAGTGGTGGACAGTTATGAAGTACATTATGGTATATGTACTTTATCTTAGCATGTTTGGAAAACTTTTAATTTTACTTCACAACATCTAGATTTCATTGAAACATATTAGTCATATTTTGGACTAAAGAAACCTCTGAAACCTGATTCGTGAACAAGCTGATTCTTTTCAATGAACCTGTTGAAGTGGTTCACACATCGCACTGAATGATACATTTGCGAATTGGTCTGATCCATTCACAGCTGTTCTCGAGTCAACAACTCACTGATTCAAGAGATCTTTGGAGCTTGAGCGCACAAGCGACTGATGGCGTGAAAAGTAAGTTACTAACACTGAATTTTAGCATTGATTATTGTAAATGAAAATCATCAAATCATTATTTGTGAACTAAATCTGCTAAATCTTGTATGGAATGCTTAAATGTGGATATGAACAGGGTAGGCTATTTTAATAATAATAAAACGATAAATAATGTTAATATAATGCCAATAAATGCCAATGCATTTCCCAGCTGCTATAGCAGTTTCAAATCAATACAGATTCATACTCAATGTCTTCATCAACTATGAAATTGTACTTTTTCGGACTGCGGCAATTTTCTATGTCACCTCCTTGAATTTTTATTTTGTTTAAATGCCCGTTTTTGGTCCAGTTTCCTGTTTTGAATGGTTTTGATTGGTGGGGAAGGACATATTAACTCTTTCCCCGCCAGCATTTTTTTAAAAAGTTGCCAGCCACCGCCAGCGATTTTGATGATTTTCACTCAAATTTGATGGCCTCCAGAATATTTTGCTGTATGAATATTTGAATATGCAATACACCAAAATAAAGATCAGAGCCTCTACTTAAAAAAAAAAAATCAGTTTTATTCTAGCTTAAAGCATTCTTTTTTTATCAACACTTAAATATAGGTAGGTTTCATAAAAACATAATTGAGCAAAAAGGTGAGAAAATCGCATTTTTATCAAACACTACATCTGGATAATATTCAGTATGATTATCAAAGCATAAATCCAGTAAATCGCCTCTATCAACACCTCCAAAGCTTGCACAGACATATACCACTTCCTGGATCAACATTTTACTCCGTAACATTATGCAGTTTTCATTTATATGCTGTCTATTG